TTCCTGCTTAACAGTCTTAGCATGTCTGGGCTCAGGTACCCAATCAGATGCAGAGCTTTCTTATCCTGCAGTACAAGCTACTTTAAACTTAGAAATGAAGAGACTTCAACCCTCCAACAATTGTAATTCTGAAGTGCTCAACAGCCTTTAATTCATTATGAACCTAGAGGCAGAGGGTTAAAAAAAAAAAAAAAAAAGAAAAGAAAAATACATCACATCCTTAATCTAGAAAAAAGTCAGCATTTTTATAGCACATCAGTAGACACTTACAAATATATTTCACTGAAGGAAGAAGGTAGGACTGTGCGTTTTCTATTTCCTTGTCAATAGTTTGATGCACACAGGCCATCAACACAGTCATTATAGATAATCTGCACAAGTCATTCCTAAACCAAAAAGAGATTTAAAAATGAACAAAAAGGGAGAACCCCTGCAACGAGGAAGGGCATTCCACAGATCCAGGTTCACGTTTAAACATAACTCATCATCTGAGAATGGGGTGAGGAAACACAATTTGTTTTGTACAGTATAAATAGTATTTAAAAGAGTACTACATATAAACACAGTAATGATGCTATTTCAGTCAGGACTTTACATGCAGAGGAAATTCCCTGTCACTCACAACCACTCATCTCATCTCATCCCACCCTTTCCCTCCCCCTCCTAAAAAAACTCCTCTGCTGTTCAAATTCTCTCAGCTGCTTTAAATATTTCTCCAAGGCCTGGCAACATTCCTCTTCTTTTATACAAGCAAGCTTTCTATTAAACGATGCTCTAACTGACAGGAGACAGCTACGTAGGAGTAACAACTGAGGCTTTTAAGAACCCTGCCAATGTTGAAAACTTCTATTAGTCTCTGTTTGATTCCCAGACTTCCATTGAAAACACCGAAACCTCAAAAATAAAAAACCCTATTTCAAACTTCTTACAAATACGCACGTGTGCACACAAAGTAACCCACAGCAGAGGCAGTAAGAAATAAAGGGAACTGCAATTCTCTCAAGAGAGAACAAAAAGCCAAAAAGAAAACTAAAAAAAAATTACTGTCTCCACTCTTCAGTAGGGCAGTTTAATACCTATCAAGTCTTGCAAGATGCTCAGCTACTATCTGCTAGTCCACAAATCCTTCTCACTTATTCCCTCAAAGATCCAACTATAGCACTGCTTAAAAACCATTCCACAGAACAACGACCACCTTGCAAAGGGGCTTAAAAGAACAAAAAAAGAAAAAGAGTATTGGAATAGTCTCTTTCTGTCCAAGTGATTTCAGGAAATTAAGTGGAGAAGACTGCCATGCAGCATTCAGGACAGCTTCTGCCAGGCCAGGACATCCAGGTGAGCAGCGATGCACCCCTGCCCCCCTCACCCAGACATTCTGGAAGCCACATCCCCTTCCCAGCTTTGCACCAGGGCTGCATTCATCCTTCCTTCTGATAGAGCTCCTCCAAAGAAAGTGGAGCACTTTCCAGTGACTCCAGCAGGGTTTTGGTTCAGGCTCTTACAAAACACTGTTCCATAACAGCTCTTCGATCGGAGGTGATTTCCAAGTGTCCAAGTGGGAGCTGCCTACTCAATATCTGAGGATTTGTTTTTGCCTTTAATGCTCATTCAATTCTTGGTGAACTGAGTCCAATTAAATGAAGGGCTTGCATTCCTCTTCCCAGGAGTATCTTAAAGGCTCAGTCTTTACTTAAGTAAAGGATGTCACAACAATCAAAGACATTTGGGGAATTTCTTCTTTAATAGGATAAAAGAAAAACATACAAACACCTCCCGGGCTTCTGTCATGGAATGATTCTCACAACTGTAAGGAGCACAACTCAGAAAAATAAAAATGGAGTCAAAGAAAAGAAAAAAGGTTCCTATGGGAGACATGCCTACCAGAGAGCTAGAACAATCCCTTTGTGCTCTAGTCTGCAGCGGGGAAGGGGATGGCTCTTAGAGGAACTAACACAAGAAGCAGCAACAGAACACTTGCCAAAACCGAGTGGCATATTATAACTGAAAGCCATGCTGTTTGTTGGTTTTGTTTTATGTTTTGTCTTTTTTTTTTTTTTGTCTTTTTTTTGTTGTTGTTGTTTTGTTTTTTTGTTTTGTTTTGTTTTTTTAAACTAGAAAGCAACTTAGATGGCAAGGATGGGAAAGGAAGATGACAAGAATGACCAGAACCTGGTCATTGCTTCACTACGTCCCTTCCTGTTGACGTGGCAGAAATGCTCACATCTATCACTTCTTCAAGAGAATTAACAGTAAGAAACATCCCAGCTATGAAACATTTCTTTCCCCATCTTCCCCAGATTACAAATGAGATAGTGTTTCTTTACAAAAAGGAACCCAGAACTTTCCAGGACATCTGTTCTTGCTTTCTCTCTCCCCAGTGTAATATTAGTCACATTTCATTGAGGGATGAGAGAGGGGAGGATTTTATTTCTGTTTTAAAGCCATAATCTAGAAAAAATGTTTTGTGGAAACTTTTGTTTTCCTATTTTCGTTTGCTTTTTTTTTTTTTTTAATAGTGCTTATTTATAGAAAACTTCACAAAGTTGACTTCTATGTACAGAAAACACAATTCCAAAGGCTGCTTCAGTAGTCAATGTAATAGCACCTTTAAAGACAAAAGAGTTTGACGTATTTTAAAAAGTCACTTAGTCAAATCTTAACTCTTTCCAAGCCTTATAAAAAGGAGCTAATCACAAAGCTCCATCAGTACAAATGCTGGAAAGTCTCCAGGTGAAACGCTGTCTGAAGGTTTCTCAGGCTCCCAGTTCTGTTGGTCTGGCAAAGTAGAGGTAGCGTGCAGCCAGACAGGATTTTCTTGCAGTCCAAACCAGAAGATGATGAAAGGAGTTCACAGCAGGGTATTGCACAACGCTGGTCTTATATTCCGGAGTTTCCTGGTTATTTTTCTACAGGCTTGAAAAGGGTTAACTTCATATTTAATTAATCCTGGTTAAAACATGTTGCTCTGAGTGCCAGGTTGGTACTGTGTCTGCAACAGGCTCTCCATAAAGGCCAAATAATCTGGGTTTTGTCCGTACTCTTCAGGATTCCTTGCATTCCCCAGCCGGGGACGCTTGGCTGCTCTCATTTCATCTCCCAAAAATACATCTTCCTGAGGGGCCCCAGTGCTGAGGGACTGCAGGAGACATGAGAGTACAGTATTAGAAGCACAGGAGGAAAACACAGGTAGACATGCACAAACTGTTGAATGCGCCCGCTTAACCAGGCAGCAGGCATAACATGGCAGCAAAGAGTGATACAATGAATTTCTGAAGAAAAACCAAATTCCAAAACACACAAAGCTGAAAGAAAAACTGCTGGGCTTCTGAAGCCAAACTGGAAGGAGAAGCACTTGAGTTGCCTTCCTTCTTTATCAGAGTATCTTTTACTTCGATTCCTGCCTTGACAGTTTGCTGTTCACTCTTATCCTCCTCTGTCTCTTCACATTGTTCACTCCTAGAATGCACACAGGAAACGGGCTTCCCTGATGTCTGTTAAAGAAAGGAAAGACCCAAAGAAAGCACTTGGGGCTAAGATGACTGTATGATTGCTTCTGTTCATCCTCCTCTTATGCTCTCAAAAGATGTGTTTCTCCTATTGCTTTGTTCCTCTGTTCTGCTGTTCTCTATAAAAGCACCACGAGCATCACTTCTGAGGAGTTTCATCTAAAGTCTTTGGGAGCAGAACGCGTAGGAGAAGAATCTGAGCTTTCAGCCAGGCTTGAAACATTTTGTTCACTTTAGAGCCTACATTCTTCTCCCTGGGACTGATATAAAGCCCAATAGTCTCCACTGCAGAGAATATGCTGTTTCCCAAATCCTGTATCCTGAAAAACAATTCTAGGATGCATCTTTGTCACCAAAAATCTTCTGAGGGTAACAAGGTAAATCATTACTTAACTGTAAAATTTATGCTATGAGGCCTCTTGTGGAGATAAAGTGCCTCTAAGAAGATGGAGAAGCCCTACAGATGCTTCAGACAGCGTTCTACAAACGTTACTTGGATAAAACCCTTTTGAGAGTAAGCAAAGTTTTCCTCCAAACTTGAGGAAAACATGATAAAATGTGAGTTTTTTCCACATAAACAATTGTTACTAGATATTTTTGGACAGTGAGTCTCTCATGCTTCTGCTAGTGGTTCAGAGAATCACTGGTTCAACTTGGTATAGTGGTTCGTGTGTTCTTAAGCAATGGTTGGACCATCATTTTGTCTGTTAAGAGACTGAAGGCCACAAACATATCACGGATTAACTCTGTAGATCTGTCCCTGCCACGCAGTAGCTAGTATGACAGACATTTAGAATGAAGAGGAAAGCTATATCTTCATTGGCATCGAATCTGGTCTCAGTGTTTGTTTGAATAATGGTCGAAGGACGAGATGTGAAAACATCCAGCCATAAACCCTCATTTTCTAGGCCGAATATTTCAGTTCCATGCATTTAAAGGCAGGGTGATCTTTTAGATAAGAGCTCTGTAAGGATCGTGTTTTAACTCTCCTGTTTGGTAAGAAATGGCTTTGGTCCAATGTCACTAAGTCAATTCTCCAGAAAGCACTTAGCTGTAGGCCAATCCATCTAATTCAAGCTGAAAGGCAGCACTGAGATACAGCGGCAGTCCATATAACTAAATTCATGACGTAAAATGGTAGGAAATAATCTTTTAACCAGAGAATACAAGAATCAAGTCTGAACATATAAGGAAAAAAAAAACATATACATGCTCTCAAGCATTTACACACCAAAGATCTCAGTGACTCTACATATTTTTTGAGTGACCCGGAATTTTACAGCCACAGAAAATGCGTTCACCTAATGTCTAAACAATATGTTAAGAAAAAGTGAGCAAGTACTTCAAGCCACAGCCACTTCATTGTTTCTTTTACTTCAATACCCACCAAGCGAGACTTCACTCTCTTTGGAAGCTCCTCCTCCAAGGTATAAATATCACCACGCTTTACCATTAGTTGGGAGCCATCTTCAAACTCAACCTGCACAGTAGAAAGAAAATGAAATAAGAACGTTTGGCTTCTAGATTCACAATACATGATCAGTTCACTCCCAGATAATGCCAAGCATGGTCCCTTTGTGGGAAGTATCAGCAAGCCAGCTCCATGGATGATTCACTGTTCTTGGCTCTGCATCTCTCTAGCTATGCTGTAGAATGAGCTTTGTTAAGAAGACTGAACCCAGGATCCAGGTTTTAGTGCTGCTCAGGCATCCGTTTTATCTGGCCCAAGCAGTTTCATTCAGTGCTCCTGCAGATTAGAATGGTTGTGCTACAGCATGCCTGCTATCCCCTCCCAGTCTGAGCACTAGAAATTTCCACTGATTTTTTTTTAAATTCAAATCCTGAAAAAAGAACAGCTTTTCACTTATAATAAAAAGCAGCCCTGTATTCAGACCAATACGGTAATAAGAATTTCTTTCATCTTGAAGCATTTTTACACATCATAAGGAAACAACGGCAGCTACTCAAATACATTTCCATTAAGCAGAAATAATCAGTCAGGTACAAGAAGTGGTGGTAAGTCCTCATGTTAAATCTTATGCACTAAGCACTGATTGTGTCATGAATTTTGCATCAGTTGTTACAGCAACGTTTATTCATGGAAACACGCATAAAAATTGTTAAAATTATTAGAAGTTTTTAAGAGATGCTCACTTCCTTTGCTTAGGGCTTATACTTCTCTGCATAACGCAGAAAGACACACAACAGTTAATGTGGGACATCAGGTTCAGACTGGGCATGTTCAGCAAGAAGTGAGCACCTGCACTCCGTGCTCCTCCTGCGCTGTCCAGATCTTACAACTGATTAGCTACCCAAGATCTGTGATGCCTGCTGAGGTGCCTTAGCTGAGCAATGCACCCCAACAGTAATAACTAAGCAGGTAGGAGAACAATCTTTGAAAGATGAGCTCTGTCGAGCTGGTTTAAGATGCTACCACTCGCATTTACTCTCAGGTTTTACAGATCACTAGGGAACAAGTGAACTAGCTACAAGCAGACTCCTGTCTGCCATTTCCACTGCATGCGCTCAACTTCAGCAGCAAGGGAGGACTGGCAGCATAGGGCAATGACATCTTCAGCTATCACACAATGGCTGCATTTTGTTTATTACAGTTCCAAACTACTGATATGGCTCAAGATCCTCTTAAGAATACACATTAGAGTATGTCAAAAGTTGTTTGAACTAACAGACATATATATATTTAAATATACAGATCTAATCTTAGCACACAAAATGCAAACTTAGAGATGCGAATTGGAAAGTCACTGCAAAATAGGACAGGACAAGTTTAAAATCCGAAGCTAATCCATGCTGTCTTAATCTGACCACACTAATTTCACGACAGAACTGTCACTGTGTTATTAAATACAGTCCTATTCCAAGACAGACAATAGAGATTCACAGCAACTGCTGAAAAAAATACGCACACAGGAAACCAATGTAGAAAGCTATTCAGGCTGTTTTCCCCATAGAGAGGAGCTTTACTTATAGGTAACCGTGTGATTTGAAAAACACAGGCTCCTCATGCATATTTTTCTGTCATCTGGCACTCAAAGTGAAATAGCCTATTTCAAATTATTTTACTTTCAAGAAATCAATGACAATTTCCTATAGTGTGATTAAACTGGAAAGCATGCATAAAAATAGATCTTCATGGAACAACGTATTGTACTTATTCATAACCTGGGTCACCTGGATCACATCTTCTCTGAAGCAGCTGCCTTCCATTACGCACACAAAAAAGACTGTTAACTAACAAGGTGGGCTATTGTGCTCCTGGCACACAGATATGAAACACTCTGTGCAGAAAGGATAGAAATCCGAACTCAATTTCAAACAAATGCAAGATCTGGGACTTCCTTTGCCTTTTACAATTCTCCAGGGGCACCAACCTCTTTAAAATAACAATTCTTTGCAAATTCCAGAATGTATTTTCCAAAAGAATGTGCAGGAAGTACACCTTCCTTTACAAATCACTGTTATTTTCAACTTCTTGGTACCATTTAAAATAGATTCAGTCATATGAACATACTGCATCTTATAAAACCTTCTGCTGAGATGCTAACACTGTGTACCAGGTTAAATCTTCTTTTATTCACTATCACAACCTTCTAGAAACAAAGATTCTGTCTGTGCAACAGACTCAAAGACCAAAAACTGCCTGCTATTCTTCTCATCTTAAAAATGGAGGTGGTGAGAGTATATGAGGTTATTATTCTTACACACTGCTACTCCTCTGCAAAGTCCCTTCCCATGACTACAAATAGTCTCCTGATACATCATTTCTCTTACTTTCTCTTGAATTCTCAAGCAAAGTTTTAATTATTTAAATACTGACTCATGGGAAACTGTAGGTCATGAGCTACGTTAGCACAACTCATTGGACAGCCATCAGAGAATACTGAGAGCAGATCACTTTGACCTGAGTTGTTTTATCACTAACAAAGCTGAGCCACCAGCTGTTAAACTCTTTTCCCCACAATGGAGGTGAATGGCTTTTCATTCAGAGGCTCTCTGGTGTGGGCACGTTCCTGTGTAGAAGCTTCTTGATAATGGTGAAAGCTCAGACAGGAAACAATTACTACGGGTCACAGGAAAGGAGCACCTTCTGGAGACCAACCTGTTGCCTCTTTGTCCACGTAAAGAGCAAAGACGTTTACTTTCAAGAGGAAAGCTACTTCATGCCAAACAATCTTGTATTGACTTTAACAAATCCTTTTGTTTTACTTACTCTCTTTTTATTCTTAGATCCGAGTGAAAGACCTGCACAACTCTAAACAAAAAGCTGCGTGTTCTTCTCACTGTAAGAAAAGCTTATGTTTTAAAAGCACAGTCTAGACATACTTCTATTCATACATCCATATTCTGTCACAGAAAACCTTTATCATGATCTTACTTTAACACTACATGTCTCTTTAGACTACAAATAGTATTAACTCCAGAAAGCAAATTCCCTCTTCGTGAGTAAACACCTCTCTTCAGAGTAAGCATCCAAGTACCCAGGGAGCAATTAGGGCAACCGTCAGACATACTGACATGAAGCATGTAAGTACTCCTCTGTGCATACCTGATAAATATGACTGATCTGGGCTGCAATAAACTTGGCCTTATAGATGATTCCATCCGTCCACTGCAGTTGAACCATCTCACCCTCTGGAGGGGGCCCCAGCTGAATGCAGTCTCTGCTCTGAAGACATAGAGACAAAGAGGTCAGACAGTCAGAACAGACAAAGCTCAACAACTAGTAGAAGAGGTCACTACTCAGGGAAGTTGCCACATAATACTACAATTAAGCAGGAGAAAGCTACTAGATTTGTGATTAACTAATCTCAAACAAACCAATAAACTGTGAAAAAAGAGAAATAAAACACTTGCACCTTCTGGTGACAGTACTCAGTTCTAGAAAATTTCTCATTACAGATCCCAAACCATGAAATTGCCAATATCAACAAAAACATGTGGGTTGACTTGCTATGTTTCATGTGGTGAATCAATGGCTCAATCAGGAAGAAAAAGCATGAGATGACAAGTCAGCCTTTTTTATACATTCCTTCTATTAAGCATATTTCCTATTTTCAACCAGAAGCGCTTACAGACAATCTGCTTCCCCCATGAATCACAGTTGTCAGTTGAAAAACTAGAGATTATTCAACCACAAAACAAACAGGATGCAACTCAAAACAAGCACTGCTTTCTGTTAAGTCCTACACATACAGAAAAACCACATTTTTGTAAAGGAACAGAATAATGAAATGAAATAAAGTCATAGAGGAAGGACAAAGATGAAGAACAGCATGAGGGTACACTCATTTATAACTTAATAGCCTTCGTAGTTAGCTGCTTACAATAATGCTTTCTGGGTAAACGTTGTCACTGTATGACCCATCATCAAAGTTTACTTCATAGAAAGTCTGTGTCGTCATGCCGATCACTTTACACCTGTAGTAGAGTCCATTCCGGTTTTTTGTGATCACAGTCTGTCCAAGAGTCACTTCCCTTCGAAACTGAATCTGTGTGGCAGAGGAAAGGAAGAAATATGCAATTGGAAAAGCTGTGCTAAAAATACAGGTGCAGGAAAACAAAAACAAGCAACCAGCAAACTCACATTCTGGTTGGCTGCTTTGTGTTTGAAGCAAGTGATGGACACGACGTAGGGCCAGTCATCGGGCTCCATGGGCACGCCAGCAGCATGCGCACAGGTCACGTGGAAGGAAGTGGAGCAGTGCTCGTAGGAGCACTGGATGCAGGCACCAGACACCTTCTTCATCCGCTTTCGACAGTACACACATTTCTGAGAAGAAGAACAAATCAGCATCATGCAGCAACAATAGCTTTAAGGTGACATACTGCCACCCTGATGACCAACAGGGTCAGAATTTGTTATATAGCACAAATGTATACACCATTAGTGTATGCACAAAGAAGCCACAACCAAAACTTGGGATGTTTCATGCTGGGGGATCAAGTCTGATACTACCAGAGCTGCCCGTCCAACTACCTGCCTAGAATCACTTACAAGCCAAGGAACTACAGCACGAACTGACGTCGTTCCCACAAATGTGATGACATCTACCGCTAATTCAGTCCTCCAGCACCATACTAACAGTGAGGAGTCTTAAACACAATTTGAGACTGAAAAGGAGGATATGGCAGACAAACACACATCAGTATTACCTAAGAATGGCTGCAATGTAATACTCATCTCCCTTAATATACACGACAGCAGTTATTTCAAGCAGCAGCTAAATCTTCAGAGCTACACTGCAATAAAGTGATGCTTTAGTTTTCAGAAAGAATGGAACACGGGATAACTATGTAATACTTTGTTCTATTCTATTCAGTGGAATGTTACATCTACTGGATCTAACAGAATATCATTTCTTGTAATGGAACAAAACATTATCTGGGTTTTTTGGTTTTTTTTGCTTTGTTTTGTTTCTACACAAAAACATATCAACTGAAAATGTTTTATTGGAATGTGTGTTAAATTAGATATGGCAAACAACAGAAAAAATAAAAATCTAGTACCAAACATCAGAATTGCAAGGGAATGTAGTATGAGATCTTTCGGTATTTTTAAAATATCTTCTGCAAAGCAGATCTATTCATTAAGCTCATCTAACAAGACAGAACCTAAGGGGAATGGCTAAGCAATTTAAGACATGACTGCTTTAAAAGCTTTTTGGGGGCCAAAAGCCAGTATTAGATGTTAATAGGAAACAAGATGAACCTCCTCATTCATCCCCTAGGAGCACCAAATTGTTTCCCTCAGAAATACGGATGAGATTTTGGTTGTCCCAGTCCCTTGGATGGTAATATTTCCATGCAACTATTTGGAAATGCCACTCTTAAGCTTTTAAGATCTTAAGCAGAGAGTCTGTCACTGATTGATGACAGCTTCTTCACCTTGGCTGAGGCTTCTCAGATGAGGCAAATCAGGGAAATTATCACGCCTGAGATAAACATGCATTTTACTTGTTAGAATGAATTGTGGTACTTCAAATAAATAAAATCCTGAGAGACATCATACACCCATGAATCTGACTATACATCCCAGTAATTTAGTTATTAGAGAAACTATTCCCATATACAAGAAGGAACAGAGCAATGTGATAATTTTTAGTGCCCATTTCCAGATGACCATCTCCAAACACACTACATGGGCTCGTCTCAGCCACTGCCCCACTGTCTGATTGACTGTCTCCATCCTAAACCATCCATCCACTGGAATATAAGTGTCCCATAATCACACATGATGCAATGCATCACAGTCTTTCTCTCTCTGCGGTCTGATGTTAAACTGACGTGTCTGATGGTCTTTCTTTTCCTCGTTACATCTTCATGGTCTCTCATTTACTTCAGTCCTGTTAATGCACTGTTCAAAGCACACATCATCACGGAACTCATGACCTGAGCTGTAAGATCCGCATGAATGACTGCATCCCATAGGATTAGCAATGCAATATAAGCTGCCTGAACTCACACAGTCAGTCTATACAGCTCCCAGAAGTACAAATTCACTCTGCTTCCAGATCTGAGATAACTGAAGAGCGTATCCTCAAAAATATGAAGAGCCATAAAGCACTATAAATTACATAATAAATGCAAACAAAGAACTGCCAGATTTCAGAGTTATATTTGCGTTCTCATAGTACATGGGACCCAGGTAAGAGCTACAAAGCTTTGCCAAGGCAAATAAAAACCATTCCTTCTCCAAAGAATATTTCTTTCTTCCTTCAAAGCAAAACACACAAAAGAAAGGGAGATGCCTTCTTCCTTATTTCTTGCCAGCCAGCCGCTCCCCAGCCATGACCCATCCCACAAGGATCTGAAGTCAAATTCACTTCCTGTGAGTTAAATTAAGTCAGTATGTTTACAACAAAGATTAATTTGGACTTCTTTACTAGCATTAACAAAAGCCAGGAAATTCAAAGTCAGGGCCTTACTGTTGCCAGAATGTGGGTTGTTTTTTTTTTCTGTTTTATTTAATAAGCTATGCCTTTATCATTCTGTAAACCATGTTCAAAAGCCAGATAAGCACTACAGCAAAGTGCACAGCAAGAACACAGCACTGAAAGCAAGTCAATAGCAATGAGATCTCATTATTAAACTGTCAATACCTAATTCTCTCACCAGCAGGGACAACTGCTGATATACAGTGCGCTCAATACTGCTTCTCCAGGGAGTATTAACCCTCAAGCATCAGGAACCTCCCCTATTGATGCAAACAGGACTCTTCCAAGACAAGAGGATTAGCACGCTTTTAATGACACCCGAGCGGCAAACAAATTTCTCATGACAGAGAAGAGAGATTCACAAATGGAATATCAAGAGCAAATATGATCAAAGGATAAAGGAAAATGAGAGCCACAGTGAGACTGAAATGCAGGAGATGTGGAGGGAGTAAGAACGTTGAACATCTGGAAGCGTGGGAGATGGGATGCTTAAAAGCACAAGTGCTAAGTACTGCAGGGAAGCAGCACGTGCAAGATTAAAGATGTTTTCTGAGGGAGGGAAGATGTGAGAAGGTCTAAAGCCCAGAACAAAAATCTTCAGAATGAATGCACATCAGAGAGCTGGGTCATAGCTGGAGGTGAGGAATGGGCTGTTTCCCGCTTGATGAACACTGCAATTCATTTACTCCACTGAGGAATGACAGCTAATTATTCCAAATTTCCACATCAGAAATAATTTATGCACACAGGCTTGTAATACACCATTAATCAGGAAGCAAGCAAACTGCATTCTTCAAATGATGCAATACCCATCAATGAACTGGTAAGTCTGTGCTGCAAAAGGGAGGCCTGGTGTAAGTCTGTACAACAGGAGATACTCCTCAAACAGGTCATTGTAACTCCCTGACACATCAGCCCTCTCACAGTAACTTAATGTATTGAAAACAGCAACAATAAATAATAGTAATAATCACAGATAGAATTCTTATCTACTCATTTCAACTAATCTTCACGTTATTTCTTCTATATTCTTCCATCTTTTTCAGCAAGAAAAGTCAACTCTAATTTTATCTAGCACTACATCAACTTTAACGACAAGACCAGATCTAACACCATTGCCTTTCAGCAAGCTTCAGTATGGCTTCCTAGATAAACTGCTGGCAGAAGTCCCACCGCCCTTACATCTCAATTATTATTAATCTTTACCTAGTTCATAACACTAAACTGATTTCAAGTTTTAGCTCAAGAATATTTGCTTTCTTTTCCAAAGCAAATGACGCTCAAAGGAACTTGATGATCTTTGAGGTCCGCTCCAATCCAACTATGAATGTCACATTAAATGTAGTGGCAACACCAATAACCTATTTTCAACAGACATTGACAGAGCACGCATCCATTCCATAATAGTGTTCATAAGTATGACCAACAGAGCAGAATTGTTTTTGTAATCAGTAACTAGGTTAAAAGTCTCCTTCTTACATCATAACACCTACAGCGTAAAAGGAATACAACACCGAATAAATTAACAGAACTACAAAGCTTTAATTCAGACATAAAGACATGTAGGAGGTCCGTGAGGCTTTGGGTGGAACAGCCATCAGTGCAGAATGAAGCAGCAAAGTTTTACTTGTGCTAATAGGAGCCAGGCTTTATAGGATTGTAGGGTAGCCACAGGAGAATTAAAGAATTAAGACAATATTTTCTTGTGAGGCTCCATTAAGCAGTACAAGTAAGTCTTGTGCAAAAGGATTTTTGGTTCATCATTACAAGTGTGGTAATGAAGAGGATGCATGCTGGAAATGTCAGATGATCCATAAAGACCCAGTGCTGTAAGATTTATCACTCTCACACCACGCTGCTCCATCACTCTACTTTAATAATGAATGCTTTTTACATTCACATTTGTGTACAGAACCCATTTGCACAACAGAAATAACTCTAGAAGCAGACAGATTCCTCCTAATCTCTCACCCAGGCCTGTCTGGGCTGTCTGCACTAAATAGCTGCACAGTGAACAAATACATCAGTGCTAACCAATGTATCACTGCTAACATCACCTTCCCCCATACCACACTCAACTATTATCCAACTGAATTCTGTACAAAATAAGCAGCAAAAGCATGATTTATTTTGCAATAACACTGTGAAGAGATGGAGCATTAACTAACATAAAGATTAATTGCACTGAGCTAATGAATCATCCATTACTAATCTCTCATATGAAACTATGTGCAGCTAGATAAGAAACTGTAGCTGGACTTTTACTAAGATCTTTGCGGTGTCTCACAGTCATGGTCACACACAAATGTTTGTTGATTTCTACAATACATTTCTTGATGAACAAAGAGAAATACTTTAAGTAAAGTTAAAACAAATTAAAGGTGAATTAGTCAGCATACATCAGCTTCTTTCCAGTTACCATCTCCCAGCCCACTCCCGGCCATGCAGTACTTTGTTTAACCCCCACTGTGAGGTGCGTAAATATCCCAGGCTCCATCTAGGGTAAAGAGAACATTCCTAGAGACTAAAGGCACGCTGGTTGCTTATATATCAGACACTTAGCATTTCAAGAACACATCCAAATAATACAGCTCCCTAGTGCATTTTTATAAGGGCATGCAGTGATAAGGGAAATAGCTTTAAACAGGAAGAGGGTAGATTTAGACTAGATATCAGGAAGAAATTCTTTAGCGTGAGGGTGGGGAGACACTGGAACAGGCTTCTCAGTGAGGTTGTGGATGCCCCTTCCCTGGAAGGATTCAAAACCATGCTGGGTGGCACTTAGAGCAACCTGGTCTAGAGGGAGGTGTCCCTGCCCATAGCAGTGACATTGGAACTAGATGATCTTAAAGGTCTCTTCCAACCCAAACCATTCTATGATTCTATGATTTCTGGGGAAAAGAGTGAGAACACCAACACCAGAAGACACCTACCAGTTTCCATCTTTGCTCTGGAATAGCAGTGATATCCACAGGATGACGCTCTATTACATTGAGAAAACGGGCCTCAGGGACAGCAATAGCACAAATTATATGGACCCACCTGGAAAAAGAGGTAAAGAGGAAACAGAGTACACCACTATTTGAAATAAACACTCCAGGGGGCAGTTAACATTTCTCTGACTCCTTCACCTACAGTATCAAGGAATGTTTATGATGGTGGTTGCAGCCTTGGCAATATTACTAACTAATCTGTTAATCACTGCTGCCAAGGTAAAGGTCTCTGGAACAATAGGGCTCAATCTTCTTAGGCGTTTGATGGTGAATGATACTAACTGTTTTCTGGAAAGAAAAAAAAAAAAAAAAAAAAAAACCTTTCACTGAGAAGGAACCAAATTTAAGAGTGTTCAGGGCCACATAACCCTGCTACTGAAAAATCTGGTCCCACCTGTAAGACAGCAGTTTCCAAAGTTCACCCTGCCAATTTAGTGAGTAGCAGTTACTTCCACAATGCCAAAAATTGCTGATACACTGAGCATCAAGCCAAAACTCACAGTATTAAATATGAGATGAAAAAGGGAAGAACAAAACCATTTAAAAACATTACTTACCGCCCATCAGTGGTCATCTGAAGAGCTCCTCCCCTGAGATTACACAGGCAGCATTCCTGTAGTAACAAAACTACTTCAGAGCAGGACTGGAAAGGTCTGCCAGATCTTTCAGAAAAAAACAACAACTATGCCTGGGATGCAAAGGCAAAAAGTACCCTCCCACCACCCATCGCTGTGGAAGTATCTCATCAACTCTGTCTCCAGAAGAGTAGATGCTTACCGCTGCCCATGCATTGGCTGAGCATCGTGAGCAAGACCAGCTTTCATTCACCAAATCTGGACGTATTCCATAACAGCCTGAAAGAAATGGAGTTACACACATCAGAGTTCTGCTACTATTTCTGCAGTATTAATTTGTTGCCTGTTCAGTTCACAAACATATTTGAAATTGGGAGCAGCATTTGAATAAATAAGGAAAGACATTCTTAGGGAGCGGACAGAATTTGGACCAATAGGTCTGAGAACAAAACAGTAAGCTAAAAAAAAAATACAAGGAGAAAACCCTGAGTACTTTGACCCTTTAAGCAAGGACTGGAATTACAGTAAAATTACTACTGCTGGGCTTCACTTGCACATCAAAACAGTTAAGACCACTGAATTCAGTAACATCATTTCTGCTAAAGGTTTTCTAAGCAAGAAGAAGCAGTAATACCACAACAAAATTAAACACGTGCATTTCACATTTAACAGCATTTAAACTACCTCTAATTTCTGGTTATACAAAATACTAGAAGCAACTGATTTTACAGGGCATCTATTACTGTGCTATGTAAGCATCAGTGTACTTCTCAGCAGCACCAAAACAGGAAAGTCCCATAATGATTATAACAAATACAGTGAAGAAAGACTCTAAAGCCCTTAAAACTCTGTAACAGGTGCTGAGGCTTGCTACTGAATAACGACAGAAGACACAAACTTTTTTTTTTTTTTTTTTTTTTTAAAGTGTATCTATGATTCTACCGTCTTGCAAAGAAATGCTATTCTGTAGCAGAAAACCAAACATATTTATAAATTGCTGGTCAGCATCCTAGCTAACACAAAGCTCAACACATGATCTTCATGCTCTCCTAACAGAAATGAACATAAAAGATCAGCTGGACAGTCTCAAATTACTGAATAAAACCTAAAAGAAGTTATTCAGAAAGCACTGAGACTGCCACCATAACTGGATTTATAAAAATTATCCACTTAACCAGACAAACTGTTTGTCAAAAAAGTCAATAATATAGATCCACAGCTGTCTCCCCTACGTTAAGTCTCTCTTTATCACATGGCAAACGAAGAAAGCACATTCAACTCAATCCTGGAAAACAGACAGGGATGATGAATCTTTAAAAACTAACCTGGAAACTGAACTGCAAGAGAAACTGACACCCTTGACTGAAATATTGCTGGAGCTCAACAGGATGTAGAATAGCACTATTTCTTGCTTCAAGTCCACAGGGAGCTGGGCTATAGGATCCGAGGGGAGAAATAGTCAGGGCTTACTGAATCCCAGATTCTCCCTTAACAATGATGGCAAAGGTACAAGAACATGTGCCCTTTTCATGGATTTGCCAACACCTTAAAAGCCTAAAGACCTCTGCAAAAGCTTTCTTCTCTCTGTCCTTGCTGTTGTCATAACCTATCGCTTGGGTTGGGTAAGGGCACTTCTCAATAGCAAGCAGACTGCCAAGTCTCACAGCATGCTGTCTGATGAACCTAACAGCAACTGAACACTGCAATCCTGTAATAAAAGCAAATGGACTCTCTGCAGCAGTCAAAGGTATATCACAGTTTGGTGGTACAAACAGTGACATGGAAACAAAGCAGACACTTGAAACCACATCAGACTAGAGCACAGAAGTTAAGCCCTATTCCCAAGGGCAAGGCACAGATAAAACAGAAAGCTCAATTTCTCTACACAGTGTCCGAGACTGCAGATTAACATCACTTTGACCACACGACTCTCTAACTAAATCAGAGTTTGGCCACACAAACCATTTTGATAGACTAGTCTAGTGAAGACATAGGATGCACAAGATCCAGCATCTCTGGTCTGATCACTAGAGACCACAGTTTGTGGGGGGAAAAAAGAAAACAGTCACACTCTCTCTTTATCATTTGCTCTTATTAACCACAAGTGAGTGACCATAATCACAGCTGCAGTATGGAAACAACAGCTGTGCTTCAGTTCTCCAGAAGAGACAGCCATACTGAGCTGCGTGGTGACCTGTGGACTATTAAGTTGGAACAACAAAAGTAATTCCAACTATGCAAGGCAAATAGGATTTCCCATCTGTCAAGATCAAACAGCTGAACAGTAATTGTCACATCCAGTACAAGTGCAAATGTTAACTGGATGTCATACAATCTACAGCAAAGGTACACTCAACGAGGATTAATCAGTTCTTCTTTTAGACAGAACACAGAGAAACAAACAGACATATGTTCCTTTTTGTAATCAAGTGTCATTCCTACAAATAGTAACTAAGACACTAATAAAAATATATCTCAGAAACTCCTCTGTACAATGCAGCCAAATCAACACAACCAAACCAACCTTTTCTTACCTTAGGCTGCTACTTGAACAAACAAAAACAGTACAATAAGCTGTGTGATTTTGGCTTTATTGTAAAAAAATAAAATATAACAAAATGAAGGCTTTTTTATGTGAAGCATAAAAGAATCAGCTATTTGTTTACATTTTATGAATATTTATTGCCAAGAAGGACTCAAATATACACTAATACTAGTACAAGAAAATGAAGAAGTAGAAGTGACAGGAACAGCAAGCATGTCTACATTAAGGACTACAAATACAGACAGCATAAAAAGAAATTTGAGAGTACCCAAAACACTTTGGTGGCAAAGGAAACACTTACTAGCATGAACCTGCAGGCAGCATTTGGCACAGGATATCAAGGAACTGGTTCCATCTTCCCCAATATACGAATTTGAAGGAAGGGGCTCTGTGTTTTCTCCACTTGAGGTAAAGCACATCTCTGGGATCAGAGGCTTCGTCTTCTGTCCGCACTTAGAAAGGTGGACAAAAGAGGTGGTCTCCCCTACGGAGACTGGGACAGCTTCTTTATCCATCTGTAAGGACTTGAAGAGAAAGATACATCACTCTTCTCTAGTCACAGTTTTAACCTTAAAGTCAAAGCAATACCATTACAAAAAGCACCTGACACCACACAGCACAGATAAGGAACCTGAAGCTGTATCTTCTCATGCACACTTCCACCCGCCACATTTTGCTCCTCTCTCTTCTTTAGACCTCTACCGGGATTTGCAATTTATTTAAAAACTCAAAGAAACATTAGAATAATGAGAAGCCTTCCTTCTCGTTCAGTAAAAATCTAAGGTCATAAACTGCAGCTGGACACACTACGGAGAAAACGAAATTAGTAAAAACAAGACCTCCCACCACTCCCTATGATACCCTCCATCCTTTTGGCATTTTTCTTCCCTTTTCTTTCTGCAAGATTTTCCCTAGAAGAACATTTCAAGCTTTCTGGTAGCAAACCAGAGTTAAAAACAACAGATTAAAACATTCTAGCTATATCTGCTTTCCTTACAACCTTTATACAACAACATTTGGGAATTCTGAATAGATACTCTATTCTCAATATTCAATTGTAGGCTGAGGAGGGTCCTGCTTTTCTCAGAAAAGGCCTCCAAAATGCACACACACGCTCCTTTTGGCTCCATTAGCACACAAGAACAAATCAATGCACAACTGGGCAAATAACTAATTCACCTGACAAATTCTGCCTTTCTGCTACAATACATCTCAAAGCATATTGGTAGTTTCAAAAAAATGATCCATATGCTTACTGAATAAATCTTCATTTTGCTGCTTGTTTGCATATATTCAAAAATCCAGGCACACATCTAAACAGGAGCACTCATAGGCCCAATATGACACTGCTTCTCTGCATGAAACAGGGTTTGCAATGCAAAGCTCTGTATGTGCCATTTAAATAATGAAAGCTGAGAAAGCCAGAGCATCCAGAAGAGATAGTGGGGAAGGCCTGACCCACTGCCTCAGCCAAATCCAAACACTTCTTTGAGGCACACACTTGTATGAGACTTGCCTCTTTCTTTTGAAGATCTGCACTCTTTCACAGTCACCATTCAGCACTCAGCACCAACCCATCCAGCAGAGCAGTTTCAGGAATTACCTGGTTATATGGGTAAAAGAGGGTACAGACAGCACAGTATGGCTCACTCAGGGCAGCAGCTGCATTGAATTTTCTTTCAGCTGGGAAATTAGGCGCTTTATTCTTCCACTGGAGGGAAAGTAAAGATTTCAAAGCCTCTGGGTCACTCATATCTTCCTCCCCAGAAAACGGAAATGTTTCTAGAAAGAAGAAATTCCAAAATAATGGACAGTCTTTAGTAGAGGCAAAACATAGCACAGTAGAGTTAAAGAGTTAATATTTCAACAACACAAGAAGTTGAATGGGAATATTTAACTCATTCATGCTTTTTCACATATGTCTTAGATTCTTCCTTAAATGGATATAATTTTCACTTTATGGTTTGGACAGACAAAGCAGAGAGACTGATGACCTGATAAAATCATCCATGAGGAAGAAGAAACTATCAATATTTATTGCCTCCAGAACTCTCTCTACTGTTCTAGCCCTGGAAACCAACAGCATCCTTTAATGAAGCCAAATTCAAAATACATGATGCAAGTGCAAGGAAATCTCCCTTTACTTTCTACACTTAGGAGCTGTGTTCAGACAGCTGTGCATGCAGCACATGCTTGCTTGGTTAGGCTAACTCCCAATTCCCAGCTGTCAGCAGCAAGTCTGTTTCAACCTTCAACAAAGTGCATCCCATACCTGTTCCTACAAACAAATGCTGGCCACAAGATGCACACAGTTCAAATATTCATTTTACCTCTCTGCAACTACTTGACAGCTAATTCCAACAAGTGCACGTCACTGAGCCTCCAATTTACATTCATCACCACATTTTCTTCTGCGAGAGCTCCGATAGGCACTGCTCATGCTAATTAGTTTGCTAATTCTTTGTTTTTACAAAACCCTTGGTATTTTAGAATTAAACCACCACATAATCCATTCGTGCCAGTTTGAGGATCCAAGTTTCTTACCACTTATTACTAAGGAGTTCTGAGTCACGATAAGCATTTAAGAAACGTTCAATGCAAGACTAAATGTAAACTGCTCAAAACATCAACAATCTGCAAAGCACCCAAAGACGACCTTTGATCAGAAGGACTCAAAAACATCTCAGTGGAGCTTTATCCTCAGAGCTCAGTGCCTGAAACCACATTCTCCACTGCTTCACCATTATTTACTGGAAAGAGGCAGTTAATGCTCTCCTCTCCGCTCCTACATCCCTTACAACATTTTCAAACTTTTAGCCAACTGGAAAAGAAGAACTTTCAGGAAAACACAGTCATGTTCACAGCCTGTTTTGAACGCCCCCTCTAACAAACCTGAAAGTTGTCAGACAATGTGGGATTGTGCTCAATCAATCCACCTCTGAAATTATGAACAGTTTTATCTTTGTTACACTTAAATGAAGATCATTTTCTAAAACATCCTTGCTTTCTTGCAACATTTTATTTCTGTGTTGGACCTCACAGACAAACAAGGATATGCTTATACAGTGGTAACTTCAGCTAAACACACTTAGGAGTCTACATCTTGTGTAGGGTGCAGCTGGAATTAAAAAGATCAGTGGCTCTGAGTATGCACACTGATACTCTCAATGTCTTACTTTTAAAGCACAGCTCAACACTCACCTTTTTAAAAAAAATCAAGCACCTTCAAGGAATTTTTGAGACACAAGCCAAAGCATATGTTTCTCCAAATTTTAATCAAAGCACATAAGGAGACAAGAAAGGATTTATGGTACCAGTTAAATCAATAAAATTTGACTGGAAACCAACATCATATTCCATACTGACAGAGCAAGAGAAAAAAGAACAGTCATTACTGTTGTATGTGATCATCGCCTTTGCTCATCCCAGGACTGAGCCTAGGTGAGACTCAGAATTCAGGATGCCTCCTATGTCTCAAAAGCAAGTTACGCAGAGAAAGAAAAAGCTAACAGTTTGTCTCAAATGAATCTTAGAGCAGAATACTGTGTTCCTTAGATTTATATGCTCACTTTCCCTCACTGCAGCCTCCTGATCACCCTTATACCTTAGCCCAGAAAATGCAAGGAGCGCAGAGAGCTGCTGCTACTTCCTGTCAGGGAAGAGAAGAATCTGTTTGATCATCTTTTGCCCAGTAGTACTGTAAATCAGTCTCCAAGAAATGCCAGCTTTCAAAGAAAGCTGCTCCTGAGTCAGCCAGGAAAGTCCCCATACACCATCCAACAAGTGAAAACAGTGAAAAGAATCCATCTAATGAGAATCCTTCAGCACAAAAGTTTGTTGCAAGGTCTTCACACCAAAACAAGGTAATTAGTCTCAAATGTTTTTTCATTTCACTTGACATTATACACATGCAGGCTGTCAGATGCATCATCCCTAGAAAGGGCATGGATGAATGCACGTGCAACCCCTGCCATTGCCAAACAGAAAGCTCCTCTAAAAACAACAGGTATGCTCTCCAAAACAGGAAGTGAACAGGAAACATATTCTGTGATTCAGTGAAATATATTCTGTTATTTCCTTTTGAATATAAAGTTTTAATTTCCTTGAAAGCTGGGTCTGGCAGCTACACCTTCACGTACCTGTCCAGTGTGAAAAAGTTTACCATGGAGTTTTCTATATTCTGAGTACTTTATAATGTAGCCGGGATCCAGAAGTGACAAATTACATGCTACAGTGGAAGCAAGAGTACAAAAAGTTGGATCCCAACGTTCATATAACTCAAAAAGCCCACCAAAAAGTTAGAATTAACCTTCCCTATACACAGCAGGTCTAATCTCGATCTCCATCTCCACCTGAGACGCAGGGAACTCTGTAATGCAGTATCAAAGAGGCAGCTTTTATGTGGTTATTTTCTGTGAACACTTATTTCCTTTTTTCCAAAATGATACCTCATGTGAAGGGACACCTCCCAAAGATGTATTTTGTCTCTAGCTGGGTTATCAAAATGGGAACATGCTGTTATTTTCTACCAATTCAGTATAACACAAAAATTTTCTGGCCGTCCAGTTTTGTTTACTGACTGCAGCAGTTTTTCGTATTAGACAAGACATACAAGCATTCTTCATGCCTTTGCACTCACCCTCGTCACTCGAGGTCTCCTGTTTAACCACTGACAGGGGGGAGCGGGTTGGCGGTTTGCCTAATGGGTGACGACGACTTTTCTTTATCTCCATCTTCATTTTTGAAAAAGCAGCAGTCTGTAACAAACCAGAACACGTTAGATGGGAGCCCCAGAATATCTTGGCAAGCAAAGGTTAGTTGAGGACAACAGGCAGAATTACTGTCATAAAGAGATGTGGAATTTACAGTCAACTTTTCATTGCCTTTTGGCTGGAATCAACAGAGCTTTCCAAGCCAATTACTGCAGTAAGTAAAGCCAATGTTATTTTTTAAGATGTCAGGTAAATATAAACTTCAGCATTTTCTTAAAATCAGCTCAGAACAGCTTCAAATTTGCCACTCATGAGCAGTCTGTCACTCCCAAAAGCAGCTGGAAAATCTATTATGAAAATTATGCACAGGGCATATATGACCAGAAACATTTTATTATAACATTACAGTGCATTTTATGACAAATGTATTCATATTGTACTGTATCCAGTGTCCTATGCACCATCAAACACTGTAAATACTGCATGTATACTGATCACAGCAGCTCACAGTCCTCTTTGGTGAAAGGCACCAAACACATGGCATGTAAGCTACTTTGTATCAGAAATAGTGCCACGTGTTTTTCGAAGACAAGCAGCAGTGCTAAAGGATTAAAAATGAAATCCAAGTACATTTTATGCCACACTGGGGAGAACGGAGATGAAGGTATGGCAGCCCATCACAGGCACAGCACCTCAGACAATGCTTTTCCTCTCTAGTCTGCATCCATTATGTCTTAGAAACACTTATATGTAAGGAATTCTCATTGTGTGTTGTCACATCAGAAAGGCTTATTTCTTCCCCTTGTTCTCTCTCCCCACCCAATTTCTAATAGTGCTTTGCCATTTCTTTGGCTCTCTCAGCACCATTATGCAGGAAAGGAGAGCTTTGCAATATTCATCTGACCTGATGCTAATTGCAAATATTTTCCTTTCTCCTCTTTTGAAAATTGTTTCCAGCTAAGAAATTGTCAGGGGAAAGAGATGCCTGTAATAGATTATAGGTCATGGATCATGTATTTCACAACACTATTCTGCTCAGATGGAATTCGGGATTCTTGTCACTCCAAGTCTGGTTCTTATCTAATTGCTTAAAACCAGCAAATCCAGTCACCTCCTTGGTCACACACACCTGTAAATCACTGACCTCTGTAGCAATCTCTGTATTTTCTGCTTCTGCGCTCTCCTCCTCTTTTACAGGGATTTCCAAAGAGACTGTCTGCTCCCGCCAACCAGGACTCTTCTGAGTAGCAAACTGCTCAAATGCCTGCTGGCAGGACATGTGCTCTTTGTCAAACACCACTTTTTTGGTCCGTGGAACCACATAAAGCATGGGAATGATAGGACGAGGCTTAAAGTCATCTTCCTCAACTGGTGCCTCTGAGGGCTGGACAACGTTGAGGGGGGTGGTCAGCAAGCTCTTGTCTGCTGCGGATGCTGCAGGTGCTGCTGTGGGTACTGGCGGCCGTGCTGCTGCTGCCTCCTCCTCTGCCTGCTGCTGCACTGCTGGTGGCAGTGGCAGCTGTTGCTGCTGCTGCAGAGGCTGAGATGTTTGCAGGTGGTGCTGGTGCTGATGAAAAAGATGCTTCTTCTTCCTCTCACCTTTTACTTTTGGAGGACGAGCCTTTACTTTGCTTTCACCTGTTTTAAGAAATAGGCAACATTTAGCTTCATACATCAAGATGTCCGGGCATTTAATGTTTTTTACCCTTTCAAGGTGGGCTAATATATAACATTAAAGAACAGGCTGCCCAAAGAGGTTGCGGATGCCCCATCCCTGGAGGTGTTCAAGGTCAGATTGGATGGGGCCCTGAGCAGCCCGGTCTAGCATTATACAGGGAGGTTGGTGGCCCTGCATGTGGCAGGGGGGTTGGAGATTCATGATCCTTGAGGTCCCTTCCAACCCTGGCCATTCTGTGATTCTGTGATTACAACATCATTCTTTCCTTCCAGCAGGCAGACTGAAGGTCCATTCAGTCTTACCACATCACTGATTTGAAGAAGCCCACTTTAGAAATAAAGGACTCGTGTCATTTTGACTTGCCTGAAGGGAAAGCATCTAGGTCCCCAGAAACTGGACAGAGTGCTAAAAAACATACAGTATATTATATTAGCCCTTTTTATTTTGGTATTTCAGTATCGGTGATCCCCAAATGAGGTATGCAAAACCTTTCATTGGGGTATAGGAAAAAATTACTTTTGGTACCATAAATAAAATAAAACCTACATTTAAAACAGTACTTATTTTTCTTTTTTCACCATTTTTTTTTTTTCCATTTCCACTTTAATGTATGGTTTATAATATACATATTTGTGCAGTAATAGATGTCTAAGACTGGACATTCAAGGACTGCCCAGAGCAGGATACCCAGGCTCATGACCAGGAGACTTCTGAAGGTCTCCAAGGATGAGAACCCACGTGGCTGTGAAAATAAATCCCCTTTTTCAACATACAAAACTCTCAACAGTTTTACTTTACAGTTTAATTCTGATCCACACAGCCTAACTTTACAGAGGTAATTAAAATTACTAGTGCTCTTGAGTGAGTGCTTCTAGGTTAGGACTGGAGATGCCTTCATAGCTTGCCTTCATCCCTTTACAATGATGTATGTTCCCTTTACCCAACTCCTTCCTCACTTCACAAATAAATGTTATCATTCATTGAAAGGAGAGCAAATAGATGCTCCACAGACAGATGCAAGCGCTCAATTTGTTTCATAAGAGATTGCAGATGTTATGACTAGACAACTCTACTGCAAAAGGTCATTTCCCCCACTAATACGATGAGGTCTGATGACAACAAAAGACAGAGAAAGCCTATTCATCCTGATAACAAAGCTTTACCAATCCAAACCTACTCAGACTCCTCCATTAGGGAATAAAGCAAAGCCAACCAACCAAACCTAGTAAACAGATGAGCCATCACACAATAATGTGATATTTGCAAGAAGAAGGATTTGAAAGTGGAAGGTGAATAATTCCACAGTAAGATGAAGTGCCAAATTCCTGGCTGAAATCTGCCAGTGGGCACCAGAACTTGGATATTTCCCAGAATCTGGTCTGACAACTTTATTTATACTAATTTTTACTGCTGAAAAAAAAAGAAAAAAGATAAACAAGTCCAGCCCAAATAGCTATTGTAGTACTTGTGCTGGCAGTCTCTCAGATAAACTGGTTTGTTCCATCACAGATAAAAGGAATATTGAATTTCCTTAGAGAAACAACAACATTCAATGAAAGTCAAATTGGATTTTTCCCCAGTTGTACAAAACCAGATCATATTTACTCCCTATACACCCAGCAAACTCTCTACCCAACAACAGAACAAATGCCATTCACCAGCTTTATTGACTTCTAAATGAGTAATTGCACAGCAGCTGTCATGCAGAACTTTGTTTAAAAGTTTTTGCACTAAGATGAACAAACTAATTTGCAAGTGAATCTATAAAATCAGCAGAACAACAAAGTGAAACAAAATTCAAAGGCACTTTCTGGCTATCATGAATACTCCAAGAAAGTAAAGTGATCTCTTCAGACAAATCAATATGGAGAATCAGTAGGAGAAGAGTCCCTGTCAGCTGGTCTTCCACTGAAGGAGAAAAATGCAAATAGCAGAGCTAATACATGTGGGAAAAAAAGAGCAGGATGAGGTTTTCATATGGTGGAAAAACTTGCTTGTCTGTAGATAGCTTGAAATAACTACACTGATTTCACTGAAGCTTCAGATATCCAATATCTTTGAGGGAAAGGGTAGTTGATGGGGAAATCAAACTGCTTACTCCAGAGGTTACACCATACCTTTGTGCAATGAGTCTATAAAGCATTAGAATGGAAATGTCATTTAATGAAACAGGCCAGAAAATAACACACAGCTATTTTACAGGTAGCATCTCATTGTTTCTTTTCAAGTGAATTTGGAAGAAAGATGTCCTCTTAAGATATATGGGTTTGTAGCCCAAATCTGCAGGACTATTAATACATACAGCACAGCTGATAACACCTGCTGACTCATAGACTGTATTCATACTGCACACCCAGAGATAAGCAGAGCTCAAAAACTCTCCTTTTTAATTTCAAGTCCCAAGACAACCTGTTAAGAACTCTAAACGCACTAATAGCTCTGTAATAAATTATGAATATAAAGCTGAGTCATAAAGACAAAAAGAAAACACGTTAATGTATCAGGGTGAGAAATCTTGAAATTTATTAATACTCAGCAAGTCCAAATAACAAACATAAAGTATTAAGACCTACTTCTAAATCTCATTTTTCTTCCTTCTCAAGGCCATCTCTTCTGATATAAGTGGGAAATCAAACCAATTTCAAGGCAGAGCATAAGAAGAAGGAAGCGATGGAGAGCAGAAAGCTAAATTGCGAAGAGTAGAACCATCAAAAAAGATTCTCCTCTCCATACAAAACTGTGAGATATCATGCAGACAGTAGGATGTAGAAAATTAGAGAATTCAGTGGTATTTAATTGCTATATTGCATTAAGAAATGAGTATATTTGCTAACAGCCACATCAAACACTATGCCCCTCAGAAATTGTGCTATAAAGTCTACTTACAGCAATGCTTTCTCCAATGGTCATGAAAATAAATTTGTCCCTCCTTTGCTAACAGTTAAGGAGATGTTAACATGTAGCCTAAATGAATGATTTAGAACCTATTCAACTAGAACAGAGTTTTTATTGTTTCTCTGTTACTCTACGGATCTCAGATCTGTCCTTGTCACTTATCTCGTCTCTCAAGGGATATCAGCATTTTCAGGTCATTTATTACAAGCATTAACTATTAAACCTGCATAAGAGCTAAGGGCACACAATTTAACACATTGCTGCCACTTCCAAGCTGGAGTACCACAGATTAACAATTCACACTATGCTACTTTTGCTGCGCACAAGAATGATTTTCAAACTCCTTACCTCCTAAAATCGACACTGTCTAGCTAAGAGACCACAGAACTGAAAGATCATCCCAATTCTTTACTCACAGCTTCCACTGTGAGTAAATTCCACTGGTCCTTTAAAATTATCAAGATTCAACAAGCAGCGTGGCATCAGTTTTCTTCAAATGCAAAATAAACAATGGATGTACAACACATGAAAACGAATTCATTAATGTTTATGAAATGTTTGAAAGCCTCAACAAGAGAGTGCAACATATAAATACCAATCACTTACCCACATGCATTAAAGAAAATATATATATCAAAAAGAGCCTCCAAGGACAGACTTTTGTACTAAACACACACAAGGAACATGTTACACGCAAGATAATTCTCTGCTTTTGCAACAGGCCTTCAGTCATACTTTCCCCCAAGTGACAGAAGTCATAGTGTATTCTAACAAATAGCCTCAAAGAATCTTAGAGACACTGTTTCCTAAAGGAGGACTGTAATATAAGAAATATGTGTGCACTACAGATACTTGAATGTACAGGGAAAGACTAACACAGCCTTACCAAAGGTTGCATAAAAATGTGGCCATGGATTCATGGAAAACAGCCCTGCCACTGCAACAGCTTCTATTTCTTTTTGCCTTCTCCCCAACAGCTTGAAACCTGTGATTTTACATGCAAGAAGTCAAAAAGGACTGGGAGATGTCATGGATGGCTCTAAGATGTAGCATGCAGCAGCTGTGGATCCCATACAACCTAAGGCTCACCTTACCCTCAGTCTGTAAGAAGTGGGAAAAAGGGTGGAAATGGCAAAAAGATTAATTGCAGAAGGGAATAAACAAAATTTTACTTTCCAGAGGGGGACACAAAATGTATTTATTTGCTATTTCATAAAATACTTTAAAATGTTCCATCCCTAAAACATATTTTTGCAAAACTGTAATAGTTTTGGCAGGACTTCTAAGCCCTGCCAAGAAATCTATTTGGTTTCAATCCTTAAAGAGAGGGAAAAATCAATTGCTGCTGTAAATGATAGCATGTTTCAGTGAGCACAGACTTAATTCTGGGTAAGACTTCACTGAAATTTCAACAAAAATAAACAACAGTTGACAAGGTATTTACAAACATGTTTTAGAGAAATAGCATGCTCCCAGTAGTTCTTCACTGAGAATCTGCCATCGCTGAGCAGAGTCCTTACCTTCTCCCTCAACCACTTTGCTTCTGTCTTCTTCCTCTAGGTCTGGCCCTCTTTTCAGTTCCTCTTTCACTTTCACATCTTCCAAGGCAGTTTCAATAGCCATGACATCCCCCAGAGACTTCTGATCCTCTGTTTTATGTCTTCTGGGTTGACTTCTTTTTCTGTGAGACCTACAAGTAGAGAACAGCAACTTGACATAAAAGAACAGCCTTCAATATAAAAAATGATCAGCAACTGAAAAAACTGAATACAAAACAAAAAGATCTTCTTTGGAAAGAAAACACAAGGTAGCTAACAATAGCTGCAGGACAAAACAGATATCTGAAAAGAAACAGATGAACCTTGCATAACACATTTAAGATCCATTCACAGCAGCCATTAATGGTTCTGGTTTCTTAAAGACCTTTTTCCGCCATTGATAATATAAGCTTGCGAGCTGTAGTTAAAATGGTTTTCATTTTAAATCTATTTTGCTTGTACTTTGAAACATAGATGAGAACTTGTTATAAATCTTTCTTTCTGTCTCCATTCTGTCATCTCTTTTCATTCTCTACTTGCTTCCTTTTGGCAAACCGCTGGAAGCCCACGAGCATCTTCCAGCTGTGAAACACTACCCCACCACTGACACTTTCTCAAAACACCATCTAATGAGTTCTTGTAGAATAATCAATAGACTGAGACTTTTCAGCAGTATAATTCTCAGGGTTCAAGGTCTACGAAGAAGACTAAATAAATAAAAAAAAAAGCATAGTAACATGATCAGATTAATACTAACAAACTAATTGTAACAGGGCCCAATCAGTGACAATCAGTGTCACTAAAACAAAAAGATTGCAATAGTCACAATGCAAAGAAAAATGTGAAGTCAGAAGTCAGGATAATATATTTTGCTTAGGAGCCATGTCAGAAGCCAAGCACCTGTCCAGCAGGACAGAGGACAAAAGGACAAAATAGGCACAACAAAAGCGAAAACTTTCAAATCCAGACAAAGTCAGTTTAATGGATGAAAGAAAGATGAAAAAATAAAAAAGGTGAAGAGGAAAGCAAAGAAAAGGAAATCACTTACTGCTTCCCACTAGCAGATCAGCGCCCAGCCAGCCTCTGAGTAACACCACCTTAGAAACCCAACCCATGGGCTGCTCCTCCTCCCCAGCCTTTACTGCCGAGCGTGACATAAGGCGGCATGGAACATCCCTCCAGCCTGCGCAGGCCATTGTCCCAGTCTCAGCCTCTTGCCCACTCCAGCCTGCTAACTGGCCAGAGATACAGAGCGAAAAGGCCCAGACACTGTGCTAATGTTGCTCAGCAGCAACCAAAACATCAGTGCTATCAGCACTTTTTCGCTACAGTACCAAAATCACAGCCTCGCATGAGCGTTAACTCCATGTCAGTCAGTACACACTTTTAAAAATATCCACCAAATAGCTCCTTCGGAGTAGAGCGCAAACCTACCAAGCTTTCTTTTTCAAGAGACTAATTCAGAAACCTACAATTTTGCAGCATTCTTAGCAGAGTTTTTTTTTGTTTCTTAAAACTGGATCTTCCAAATGGCTTCCTCGTTCCTAGGCCTCTGCATCTATTACCATGTAACAAATTAAAACACCCTCATGCTTCATTCTTATCCATCAGCTTAAATATCTAGAAAAGCTGAAATTCAGTTTCACATCCCCACAAACTCAGCTGCTAATTAGATTTGGAGTGCTGCAAAGTTAAGAGTCCTTAATCAGGCAACCATAAAGAAAGAAGAAAAAATTCAACCTGAAATGAATGATTAATAAAAAAGAAAGTTGATCCATATGCACAGTAATTTATAATTGCTAGGCTCTAGCCATATGGTAGCACTCCAAGTATAGATGTTAACTTCGCACCTGCAAGACATTCATCAGCAAGAACACACAACTGAACCCAGAAGGATCAGCTTTTCTCTACACTGACATTCAAAGTACACAGCACCTTCTACAGAGGAGGAAAGTCAAGGCAAGAGAAGACAGACCTGTACAACTTTACCTTAACAGCTGGAACTTTACATAGTTGGTAAAAACAGCACTGGAGTAGTATCCAGCATCAAATGTTCTTTCAAGTAAATGTGTATGGCTTTACTGCCATTGTGTTGGAACGTGAGGCAAAATTTGAGTTACAGTCCTTTACATTCTCAGTAGATAAAAAGGATGTTTTTAAAGTGCTCTTCTGGCTCTGTAGTTGTGTAAAAATGAACAAAGAAAGAAAGAACACAGCCATTTAAAGAAACTGCTTCCAGGACTACAAGCTAAAGGCTGTGCATTTCCAGTGAAGATATTCTGTAACTGAAATAATTTGCATACCAGAAATGGGCTTTTTGTGGACCAGACTAAAACACTCTCTTGCTGAAGCCATAAAATAAACACAGTAGAGATTTTCAAGGTATGAATGACCTTGGAATAAAAATAGCATATCTCTTTGTAGAGTTTAAAAGCTTTAAGTTTCCAGGAGAGAGAGAAAAAAGCAGCATATGTACTCTTTGAAGTACAGACCACAGAGTGACTTATTTTAAGTAGGTACAACTGTGAAGATGTTTGGGATAAGGTGGATCCTATTCTTCCAGCAAAGTCCATCCTTCTGAGAAAAGTCAGTCTTCAAGTCAAATGTCCTTCCAAGACGTAAGCATAGGAGAGAAACTTCTACTAAGCAGGATTCAACAGCTTGAAACCTGCTCCAGGATAATACTGAAAAAAATCTACAGACAATGAGTAGATTAAAAAAGTGGCTGGATGTTTTACAGTAGCTCAGGCTGAAATAGAGGAGCTTCTCTGCTAAGCAAAAGTTTTCAAAAGGGAAAATAAACATGGGTGTTATGTGTGCAAACAGTAAATAAATCTAAAATACCCTGAAAATCCATAGGAAGTATTTCCATAGACTCCAAATTTACAGACGTGGAAGAAAAAGATTAAGGGGCACACTGGAGTTCAGATAGTCATAGCCCAAAGAGCATACATCACACCTGCTGAGTCTCAGATCACCCTGCTTTTCCTGAAACTCATGACAGAAAAAAGAAATGAAAACATTTCAGGAAAATAACCTCTGAAGTGAAGCACTATTGCTGAGGTCAGTTATCTGCCAAAATATCTACTTTATTTTATGAATATGTCTTTAAAGGACAACATGCTTTTCCTTTTCAGCATTCATGAAATCAGGGACTGATCCTTTAACGTAGAAAAGGCAAGGCACAGATCACCATGCAAGACAAAACCAGAGGACAACAAAGACCAATGCTAGAGAAAGAGGAACAATCTTACTGCTGTATCCTTTTTTTTTTTTTTTTTTTTTTTTTAAAAAAACATGAAACTCAAATGCATTCAATATAATTGAATTGATTAGGTCTGTAATTTTAAAACTCAATGTCACTCAAAGTCCTTATCAGACACGGCCCCCAAAATCTAACAACTAATTAAAGCTTTCATTTATGAATTTCAAGGAAATTATAACTGAATGAAAGTTATGAGCAGAATATTATTTTTAGATGAAGCAGTTAAATTTCCAGAAATTTCCAACTCTGACATCAGAAATTCAACAAACAGTAGATGTGAGCAGAATTACAAAGGAAGTATTTTGGGTAACAGACAGAATGGTGTTTAAAAAAAAAAAAAGCGTAAAGGAGCATATGGAGGAGCACCCACTTTACATCTGAGTACATTAAAGCCCTCTGATAATTCAGTTCCCTGTAAAATAGCACTCTTCAAGGAAGCACGACAAGGAATTTCTCCCACTGGAAGCTCATTACTAACACACTCAAATCTAATTCCACTTTCCAAGGCAGCAGCAACTTTTTAATAACTACTTACTTTGGTGACCAGTCAGCTTTATCTATAATCAGTTAATCATGGTAAAAATATCACATCACTAGCTTTGGTTTATTCAGGACATCAGCTGCTTCCAGGACTCAAGAATAGAACACGAGAACAGGCAGCTGAGATTCTCCAATAGGACAAAAGAGATTGAGATCTCAGAAATCTACACAAGCACAAGATGAACATTATTTTGATACCCCAAGATCTTCTGTGCCCTTTCATGGAAGCAGACATGAAACAACTAATTGAACCAGAAAAATACTTCAGGAGTTACTGTTTTAAGAAACTCGATAGGAAGAAAACTGTAATCATTGAAGTTGATGAGGGAAGTAACGTACCGGTGCTTGTTGTCCTCTTCCTCATCTCCTATCCTATAAAGCAAGATTCCAACAGTAAAAGGTTAGCATGCCAAATTTTCAATTCAAGCATGCTGTAATACATGAAAAACATGATGAACTTGCAGAAAATTAATACAAAGATCAAAGGAAGCAGAAAAAGGCATGCATAAAATCCCTTTTGCAATTGACAGCTTTTTCCTCTTGCTTTCTAATAAGTGCAGCTATAAATGCTTACTATAGATTTTTTTGTATTCCAGGATAAAAGATGGGATCTGACAGGGCACAGTGTCCTACTTTCAAACAATAATAATAATAAAAATAAAGGGGTTCCATAATATTCAGAAGAAACAGAACAATGAGGGACTGCATCATCCAAGAAAAGATACAAGAGCAAGTATAAAGAGATGAGTATGAACTATTCCACCAAACTGAGAATTACAGAGTTTAAAGGGTTAGCAACTAAAATGTAGTATCCAGACAACTTTTTTTGTCACTGTTTTTGTTGTGTGGGATTTTTTTTGTTTGTTTTTACCTGCGAAGCAATTTAGCCTTCAAGTCTGCCTTCGTCTCATTCCAGGCATCTAGTTCTGGGCTAGTCAGAGCTGTGGGTTTCATGTGGTCCAGGACAGCAATGTCTTTTCCTTGTTTCCATAAATCGTAACGTTCTGGCTGCAGAACCCTCACAAAGACATCCATGGAAATCTTCACCATGTCTTTGCGGCACGTACACTGCAAGAGATTTCCAGACATCAACACCATGTGAGACCAGAGGAAATTTTTCTAATCAGCTGAGTTTGCCTTTTTCCAGAGGCCAACTGACATCAGATTTTGTCATAAGGCCTACAGTAGGTTAACTGGGAATTGCATCACGGTCTAAGTGGGTATTTTGACTCAATGACACAAATTGCCTCCATCTGCCCCTGGCAGAAAGGGACAGCACAAGATACTGTACTGTCCCAAGGGTAGCTGAAGATTCAGTTCTCCAAAATTTTCTTCTCTAAGACCAGCAACCAAGTTAGAACTTTCTGGTACCTGATACACAGCGTATTACTCATCTACAGTGTTACAGTCATAAGGAAGTAATAACTGTGGTTGATACAGACCAGAGGTCTGTTTGATCTCAGGCCTACATTCCCCTCTTTGCCTGTCTCACCTCAAGTTTCTCAGGCTGAAAAGAGATTAGTAGTACAACTGCATCACTGTAAAAGCCTTTAGGGAGCTAAAGCCTAACCTAATGTCCAAGACAGTTAAATTTCATAACTGTACACCAAGATGTGGCAGATAAATCCTTCACAGGACTGTAAATTACAAAACCAAAAATTATTTTATTACAAAACTTTCTGCTGAATACAATGCAAGACTGTCTGATCATAAGGATGAGGTCAAGCTGTGTGTGTCCAGCTACCAAAAGTTACCTGGCTACTTAGCAAACTACAGTTAAAAAAAAAAAATAAAAAGGAAGGGGGGGGGGGGGGGGAGAGAGGAGTGGTGGACATTGGGAAAGGAATCAGAAGAAAAATGTCACTGGGTGCAGGAAACTGCCAAGAATTGCTTGGCAATATTGCTAGTTGGGAAACTGAACCCACACAAAATGAAGAATAAAAATGCAGATGTGCAGCATAGAAAGCAAGCAGGCAGCCACACTGCAGTGGAACCGTGGCTGCTCGCCATCACTGCCTTTCTAACTCTGCAACTAAGGAAAGCTACTTGCACACTGAGCACGCTTTTACAAATGGTAAGAGAAACTGTGTTGATTTGTAAGTAAGAAATAAAAAAGGCTAAAATAACATGCTGCATCTAGTCTGAATACACCTAAGCCAAAGAAAATGTGCAACTTCCATTTCAACTAGCATACATATGTTCATTAAATTCAGCCACTAGAATTATGCTCTCATCATTGCGTATCTATACAGAGATTAGACACAAACACTTCTACTTGGATATCTGTTTCCTATGAAGAAGTGCAGAATAAACAAACCGAGTCCTTCATCCAAGGAGATTCTTACCCAGTACACAATATCAGACTGACTGAGCATCTGCTCTTTACAAACTTCTAACTGCAAAGAAGGCACAGGATCGACAAGGATGCAGCAATACATCAGTGGCTGCTTGGGTGCCACAGCTACTGCTTTGCTGTTGTATGGGAAGAGAGTCAGATCCCTTTTTAGTTCTGCACTAAGGTTCAAAGCATTGCACTTGCACTAAACTACCTTTTGACTTTGAGTTGAGAATGAGGTAACTATGGTGACTTCATAGGACTTTTTTTTTTTTTCCTTAAAGCTGTTTTACTTTTCCTCCACATCTTTTCAGAACTATTCTTTTTTCTTAGCAGAAAGGCATGAAATTAAACTCACTTCTCTCTCTTCTTTCTCTTCACACTTCCATTAATAAGAGACTTATGGCTGCAGCTGAGAAACCACTGAGAGAGAAGAGAGATTCCTTCTGTAGTCTCAGCTATCCCACTCCCCTCCCAGCTCCTACTTTTCATTTTGGTTCCCGTCTGCTTTGCTACGACTTGGAGAGCAATAACAACCTGAGTGCATTGTGTAGGAAGGAGTATTTATGGGCAGACACTTACAGGAAAACTCAATTCATTTAATGAAAAACAGCGTAAGAGAAAAAGGCTGGAAATGCAATTTGGCCAAAGAGTGGCAGGAACACAGATGGCACCCATCTTCCAAATTCCTGCCCCAGCAGAAGCTTCTCACCAGCACCTCCATCAATGTGGGCTTAAGAGATTTGTATTGAGCGCATTTTCAATCACTTTTCCTTAAGATGTTTTAAAAGCACCTCTGTACTGCTAAGAAGAGGAATACAAAGACCACCCAACAGCACAGAGCATCAGTGAGGCACGGCAATCAACCTCTTCTGCCTTTACTAAGTATGAAAAATGACTCAAAAGAGGAACAGACCACTTTCTGGTTCCACCGTGGAAGCAAGATGCTGCAGCACACAGATGCCAACTCCTTCAAATCAAGTGGAGCAAATCACGACGATCTAAAGGTCTCAAGAACAGCTCCAACACCACAGAACCACTAGTTAAGAGTCTCAGCACAATGTAAAGTATATGCAGATTATCCAGGCACCTCATGTAGAACTATTTGGATGCTACTCGTGGAACTGTCCAGAGAAATGACACTGCGGGAGCAATCTTCAGTGCACCGCAACACCAGAAGCTTGCTGTAGCCAAATTCCTTTCTTCATACACAAATCTAAGATGACGTATATTTACATTTCAATTTAATTTAATTTTATTGCTATTACAGTAACAACCATGTATAATTTATAAAGCCTCTTTCTTCTGGGCTTTCTTTTGGGCAGTGCAGTTATATTTCCTCAGCTGCTGCACTTCTGTCCACATTCATATTCCCAGAATGGTCGGCATGTTTTTTATACCCCTCAGACACAATAAGATCCTGCTAATACAGCAGACACTTGCAGATGAACTGCAAAAAGGAATGTGCACACATATGCTAGAGGTGGGAGGAGGAGACGATAAAGAAGGAGACTATGGGGAGAGAGGAGCAAGAAGACTGCTCTGCCATTAATTACCTGCTCTATTCTAACAGAACAAGGCAAAAAGAGCAAGCTTGTATTTCCCTGTCAGTGATAGCCATCTCCACACACTGTCCTTCTTTCCTTATATATGCAGTCACATTTCTTTCAAATATTCTGATTATGCAATTGTGGCCAAAACCATGCATGTTTCCTAGGATATGTAATACCCACAACTCCTCCCCACACTCTCTCTCTCCCTATCTGTTTTTCTGCAGAATGTATCTTCCCTATTCCATTTTTTACCCTCAAATTCCAGCACCTTAATATCCAGTATTGTTACCGTTTGTAGAAGCGACAACACAAAATGAACATAACCACACTTACACAACTTCTAAGGAGAGAAAAGAAATCTCATTTTCTTACTGTGAGCAAAAACTGAACCACAAAGCCCTGATTCAGGCTCTCCAGAAATTCCTACCAAGGCTTTCCTTCCTTCCTTTGTCAGCAGAATACAACTAGCTTTAGACCTGTGAAAGATTTAGGAGTGATGTGGTCACCCAAAGCACAGACCGTGACTGAATGGCAATATGAAGGCTTGTCCTGCCCAGCTGTCAGGTGAGAAATTTAAGGAACTCGGAGATCTAATCAAACACCTCTGCATTTCTCCTCTGCCTTTCTCCACCTGGCAGCCAGATTGCCATGGCTGCCAGAGGGACAGACTAACAACAGAGTTCACTTACACACCAACACAGGTTTATGTTTAGTTCTCTGTCTTCAGTTGCAGGGTGTCCAAGACCCAAGAGAGCAAGAAGACCAGAGGAGTTGCCATATTCCCCACATTTACAGGAACCTGTTTGTTCCACCTTCTGAAGACTTTTGCTAGCCCCAGCTCTCTCTTCCTGTAAGCTAATGACTTTGCTGCCCATATGGGATAAGAACATACAAAGGCAACTTGCAAATAAAAAGAGCATACAAAAATATTCTCAGGAAATGGAAGTGTGAAACTCTTTTCAAAAGCAGAAAAACAACATTCTTCCCCTGTTTATTATTTTATTATGTCACTCAAAGTTGGAGGCTGGTGATACATCTGACCTCTCTGAGAACTTTGTGATATCAAACATAATTCACAGCGATGGTAGGAAATTTGTGACTACACAATGCACAACCATGATCTTATCTGGTTTTAGGCTTTTTTTTTTTTTTTAAATAAAAATACTTATAAATCCCTATAAGTAACAGTCAAATAAAAAGACTGTCTCCTTAAAGTAATAAAATGAAATGATCTATGGAAAAATGTAACTTCATTCAACCTCAATCTTCAACTGCATTTTCGTAAGGATTCCTTCCCTCACTTCCCAGTTATTAACACTAAATTGAATCCTACCTGTTCCATGACATACAAAGAGTTAATGTAAAAATAACACTTTTCTCCTTACATAGAAAGTCACAAAAACAATCTAATTAAATCAGCACATCTGGTTCACATGGGAAAAAAGAAACACCTCACATTCAAATTAATTTAGTTGCCAGTGAGGTTGTTGAAGATCCAACTAGCCTCCCACTTTGCCTAAATGGAAATTTAAGCAGAAGAAAACCCAATACACCCAAAGTTCCTTCAGCTATTATGCCATCGTTAAATATTTTAGACTTGCATTTAAGTTTTAGTATCTGTTTCTCCGTAACAATGAAGTCTAAAAGCAAGTTACTGGGAAAAAAAAAAGAAAAAAAAAGATAGTTATATCCAAAAGGTAGCTAGGAAAATTCTTACAGTGTACTACAGAAATACATACAGAGAACACTTCTGAACTTCTCTCCATAAACTGCCAGGACAAGATATAAAGCTACAGCTTTTGGGAAAAACACAGAATCCTCCCAGTATAATACTCTAAAACAGCTATCTAATTCACTATCCGATTACAAATGTGTTTCCTGATGTCTAATTAACGCTCACCCAGTACAACACAAAACTAGACAGGGCTCCAGTTTACTTTCCTTTCATTCAATCCAAACTCACATTTCCACTCACACCTTACTATACAGGAACTGCTGAGTCACGGCCTGAACCTCTGATTGATCACCTGAGGCAAGCCGTGAGTCAGCCAGAGGAGCACAGGTGAAGGCAATTCAATTCACCTGTGCTGCCGGAAGGGGTGGAGCCAGGCTGCAGCTCTCCTAGACCTATTGAAGAGCTGGCTGCCAGTGGGGAAGGATCTTGTCTGGAGATCTGCTCT